CCCCCGCACTCCGCCCCCGCCGGCCACCCCTCCGGCCTGGCTCCCGACTCCCCGGCGTCTGCCGCCGAGCTGGCGTCCTACGGTAAGTGAAGGGTAGAACAGCCAGCCAGGCTCCAAAAAGCCTGTTGGGAGATCTCACGAATCCATACACCAAATGCTCTCTGCAAACAAAAAACATCTTATTTGATTCTAACGATTGTAACTTTGGGCGCAGAGAGGGAGGCGCACCTGCTGCACGGCGGCGAGTCCAAGATGAACGGGGTGGTGGACCACCAGCAACAGCAGCAGCACCACCACCACCAGCACCACCAGCACCACCTGCATCAGCAGCAGCAACAGCAGCAGCTGCACCAGCAGTTCGGACTCAGCATGCAGACGCCGCCCACGCCCCTGGCCGCCGCCTCGCCCACCATCCCTATCGAGAGGTACAGGTAAGAGTGCGTCTGTCCTGCGCCTCTCTGTCTGTCCATCTGTCCGTCCGTCCGTCTGTCTTTCTATCTGTCCGTCCGCCTGTTTATTTGCTTGCTTCTCCCCCGCGATCTAAAACGTGGCTGCCCGAGCCGAGAGTGGAGGCGAGCGGGAGCGGGAGAGGAGAGATGCGCTGCAGACTGCCCCCTCCCCTCCCACCGCCATAAGTCCCGCCTCCGCCTGGCGGGCCTAGCGTCGCGGCCGGGGGCCCGGCCCGGCGAGCGGGGCGGGGCCTCGGTAGGGGGCCCCTCGCCCCTCAACTCCCCCGCTCCGCTCGGCCCCAGCCCGCTCCATGGCGGGGGCCCCGGCCGACTGGCGAGGGGGTGGGGACAGCTCCCCCTCCCCCTTCTATCTCTCTGTCAGTATCCTGCCTCCTCCCTCTCTCTCTCCTCTCTCCAGTCACGCTGGGCGTCGCGGCTTCGCTCGCTGACTGCCTCCCTGCCTCTCTCGCAATGGCCGCCATACTGGCACACGCCAGTCGAAGCAACATGCCGGCGTCTACATTTTATTTCACACATGAAATTTGTCATGAATGAATCGAGCGGGCGATAACAACTCGCTCCCATCCGTCCACAGCGCGTTCCTGGCGCGGCCGAAGGAGCAGCGGCTGACGAGGGACGCCATGCAGCGCTACCTGCGCGAGCGCATGGACCTGACGCTGGTCGTGCTGCACGCCAAGGTGGCCCAGAAGTCGTACGGCAACGAGAAGCGCTTCTTCTGCCCGCCGCCCTGCCTGTACCTGGTGGGGTCGGGCTGGCGGCGGCGCCAGGAGTCGCTCCTACGCCAGGGCGAGTCGGAGCAGGGCGCGCAGCTGTGCGCCTTCATGGGCATCGGCGGTGCGGACCAGGACATGCAGCAGCTGGACTTGGCGGGCAAGGTGAGCACCGCACCGTCCTCCAACCGTGTCTCCATACGCTCCAGCACCAGACAGTAACACTCGTATCTTCTGTCCCATCAGCAATACTGCGCGGCCAAGACGCTCTTCATCTCAGATTCGGACAAGCGTAAACATTTCATGCTCACCGTCAAGATGTTCTTCGGCAACGGCCACGACATCGGCGTGTTCCATTCCAAACGGATAAAGGTTATCAGCAAACCCTCCAAGAAGAAACAGTCGCTCAAAAATGCTGACCGTGAGTATTGTACGCGACGTAGTTAGCAGCTCTTTATTGTCTTTGCCATTCGTCTGGTTCGCCTGCTTCATTTCATTTGTCGCTGCTTTTGTTTTCGGTTGCAGTTTGTATCGCGAGCGGTACGAAGGTGGCCCTGTTCAATAGGTTGCGCTCGCAGACCGTCAGCACTAGGTACCTGCACGTCGATGGCGGTAACTTCCACGCTAGCTCAACTCAGTGGGGCGCCTTCACCATTCACCTCCGTAAGTGTGCGCCGGGACGGCCCCGGGCGCGGCTCACATCAGCCCCCGACGGCAGAGGGGTAGGCAACCCCGTTGGGCCGTTGTGCTCGCCGGGTCTGCCTACGCTGAGCTGGCGGGCGCTGAGCGGGGGCTCCGTCCGCACGCCATGAGGATCTGTGCGAGGATTTTACCGTCCAGTTGTAACTTCTGACGAGACACATGACCGTACGACTTTTCTCTCTGCGAAGTGGACGACAACGAGTCAGAGTCAGAGGAGTTCTCCGTCCGGGACGGCTACATCCACTACGGGGCGACGGTGAAGCTTGTGTGCTCGGTGACGGGCATGGCGCTCCCCAGGCTGGTGATCCGCAAGGTGGACAAGCAGATGGCGCTGCTGGACGCAGACGACCCCGTCAGTCAGCTGCACAAATGCGCCTTCTACATGAAGGATACCGAGAGGATGTACCTCTGTCTGTCGCAGGAGAGGATCATCCAATTCCAGGTAAGCAGGCGCGGAGCATAAGGTTGGAATCGAAAGAGAGACCACGTCATCCGGTCCTAATGAATACACTCGTGATTTCTGCCGCCAGGCGACACCGTGCCCCAAAGAGCCCAACAAAGAGATGGTGAACGACGGTGCGTCCTGGACTATCATCAGCACGGACAAAGCCGAGTACCAGTTCTTCGAGGGTATGGGTCCCGTTCGCGCTCCCGTCACGCCCGTGCCGGTCGTCCACAGCCTGCACGTAAGTACTCACCTACTCATCGCATTACCAGGACAAGGTCACCATGCGCTGTCTAACCGGGCGAACAACCTTGCCTCCCTGCCTCCAGCTCAACGGTGGTGGCGACGTAGCGATGCTGGAGCTCACGGGGGAGAACCTCTCGCCGTCCCTGCGTGTGTGGTTCGGTGACGTAGAGGCCGACACGATGTACCGTTGCCAGGAGAGCCTGCTGTGCGTCGTGCCGGAGATCTCTGCCTTCAGGGGCGAGTGGGGTTGGGGCCGGCAGCCCTCACAGGTACAGTCCTCGGTCTCTTTTGGGCGTTGGTTGCCCTCTCTGGAGCCACAAGATGACCCCCGTGTCTCTGTCCGTAGCCGGTGCAGGTGCCCGTGTCCCTGGTGCGCAGCGATGGGATCATCTACGCCACCGGCCTCACCTTCACGTACACTCCGGAGCCCAACCCGGGAGCTCGCGGGGCGGGGGGGCCTCCGAACTACCAGCAGGGCGACCCCCAGGGTCACCCGCAGACGCACGCGCAGGGCCAGGGGCCCCAGGGCATGCTGGGCCCCCAGGGCCAAGAGCCCCACCCGCACGCCATGGGCTCGCACCCCAACGCTTTCCACTCCCAGGGCGGGCTGTAGGCCGGGCTCTGTGGAGGGAAAAAGGCCCCTAACTGGAGCTAGAAGTCTTGTTGAGTCTGCGGGGCTGAGCCGGCTCGACGTGGCCGTGCTCAGCCTGCTACTAGGCTTTTTGACGACAATGCTTGTCTGAAGGGAAGTATTAGTTTTATTACCAACAAGTGAAGTGGATAAATGCATTCGGGATGAAGCATAGGGGAGGAACATCCTTCAGATTCAGGAAGACTTCTGAGAAAACAACACAACAAACTCTGTGATCTTGTTAAATGCTGTGGTTGACTATATGAGTACTGTATGTGTTCATGATCATGTGCCGAGAGCAAACGCCAGAAATCTCTGTAAATAATCATGTCCATTTACACAAATAATAATTAAGACTTGACTCCAAGAAATGATAATTTGTAAATAGCATTATTGGCACACTAGTTGTGTTTGACGGTTGCAAAGTGTCCCACAATTTTTACTTGGTCTGACCTGACATAGTACTGGTTTGTTCGATAAAGTCACGACCAGCTTGGTCAGTCAGCGCAGCAGAGCTGTCAGAAGATAAAGTTATCAAGTGGATAACTTGTCCAGGTTACTGCATTGCAGTATAGTAATATGGGAAGTGACAAAAGCCTTTTTAATTTTACAAACAAATTATACCTATCTTCTTTTAGTGTACAGAAAAATGCAAGGATATGTAGGGAAAGCAATACATAAGTCTGGTTAACAGTCAGCACTGTAAGTCCGATGGGCAAAAATCAAAAGGTTTGTGATATTGATTTTAAACAAATGTTTCATTGTAATAAAAAATGTTGAATGTAAGTTATTCCTTGACAGTTGGATCTACAAACAGAGTTCAGTGATTCGACAGGTACAGTCAGTTTGTAAAGCAATTTCGGGTCTTCAAGCAATTTTTTCCAAGAATAAGTGATACATGAGAAGAGTCAGTATTTGAGTTTCAACCCTCCTCTTATTCATGCATGACAATGCTCCAATCTATTGCCTGTTAGGATTAAAACAAAAAAACACTCCATATTTTCAAGGCTTACTTTGTACAAATCTGGTATGTTTTATAGTATTATTTTATCTGTGATTTTTAAGTGCGGAACTTGTACTTAAAATTTAAAAAAAATAAATGATACTTCTGCTGAATTCAGTACTATTTTATTTTAAAATGTTACACATTAAAAATTTTAACAAACAATTGAATTACAATTTACAAATGATTGAAAGTGAATGTTTAAACTTATTTTAAATAACCAAATGACTATTAAAATATGACTCAAATTCAAATTAACATACAGGAAACAATCACACAACGTATTTATTTCTATATTCCATTGATTATTATTAGAGTTCAAAAAGGAACAGAGATCATTTTGAACCAGTGAGGACTACTACATCACCAAGTTGGGTCACCAAATCTTTCAAGAGCCTTGTCTTGAGTGACAAGCTCCAATTGGACCTTCTTACGCATGTAGAATATAGGACAGTCACGGCTGAAAATCATTGAGAAGCCAGTAGTTAACACGACAGAGTTTAATAGTAGCAAGGTTCCTTGTAGTGCATGAAAGAGAAGTGTTTAGCATACCTTGTACACAGGACTTCTTCATGTAAGGATCCTTGGCACCGCTGACATTCAGTCCACAGTCTACTGAATCTATCTTCCAGACCACGGTACCTCTGCAGTTCAGAGAGGAAGAGCTTTGCTTCGTTGGGTGAGCAATGTGAACATAGAGCGTTGGCTTCTTGATCTTTAGGTAACACAGCTTTACATCCAAGACAAGCTTGACGCTTCACAGTGAAAGCAGACAGAGCACCAACCCGTGATGTCATAACTGCCCTTGTTCGTGTATGGTCACCACCTGAATAGATATATATGGATGTATGAGTAAAAAAATTTACTGGTAGATTGATGTTTAATCTATTGTCAACATCATACTTACGAAGCAGTATAGATTCAGCTTTATCACCTAGAATTGGCTCAAATATTCTAAGTAAAGGTTTAGACAGCTGATTTTCCAGATAATAGGTGAAATCAATTGGGATACTGTTTTCAAGTACATATATAGGATCCTAAAACCAACCAGTAAAATTAAGGACTCAAAAGAAAAGATAGAATTGTTTCAATTTTTGACAGAAATGCAAGAAAAATCTACCTCAGCCTTCATATATGCTGGGGTGCCTTTTGATGCAGATGTAAGTACATAGGGCACTCGATCTCCCAATTTTGGAGCATTGCCTGGATCACGCTTTTTCATTTTTGCAGCAAGTTCAACGTGAGCCTGCTTAGCAGCATAGTCTGACTTAGTTAGTTCTTTTGTGATTACTAAGTTTGATATGTCAATTCGATTACAAAGAAGATCAGAAATAACCTAGAAGAATTATTTATTTAGAAAACAACTCTTGCAACCTTTAGCAATGTAGTTGGCACTTCACTAAAAATCTTTACCTGTTTAGCATAAGCTACAGCCCCATCAGGATTTCGATCAATAAGAATTTTTTGCAGACAAGTATTCATCATGTTTGCAACAAGAGGACAGTTGTCTCTGCGAACTGTTTCCAAACCTTTGCAGTCCATTTTGTCATACTTGTCAGCACTAGTAAAGTACAGGCCTGCATACCTAATATACAAAATATAAATGTAACTTTAAAAAAATTATAGACTATTAAATAAACAGATTAAATAATTATCAAAAAGTTAAAGATTCAAACCTCTTCTTGTTGATTAAAAGATATGGGAAGTAAACTTTTTCAAACTCCAATTTAATTGGTTTAATAAATTTGGAGGTAACATATTCAGCAGCCTCCTGACCCAGCCTCATAGCCTCCTCAAGAGTTTTAACTCCAAATTTAACCATTACTGAATCAGTATCTCCATAAATAACTACAGCATCATGTTCATAACCATTTTCAATACGATATCTATAGATAATCAAAAAAATTAGTCAATGATCTGATCCACAATAGAAAATTATTAATAAATAACCAACGCACTACTTCACCACTCACTTGGTTTCCACTTCAGTTTTGGTTTGCTCAATCATAGTACGTCCGTAAGCTGTGACACTTCCAGAAATTTCAAGGCATGGTAGTTTTCCAACCTGGATGAACAGAAGTATACAATATCATTCACAACACTCAAAAAATGCTCTAAAGCCAAAGTGACTAAGGACATCTGGGAACTTTAATTTCACCTGGGCTCCAGTAAACCCATAAACTGAGTTAGCTGATATCTTCAGAGCCAATTGACGTCCATCAAGCACCTTCTGTTTGAAGGGATCTGTTTCTTTCTTCAGATCAGCTTTTGCCTTTTTACGGGCATTTAAAAGACTTTCTAAAATTTCGGGCAAAAGTCCTTTGCGAACCTAAGAAAAGTGAAATTTTGATAGCTAAAATTGAGATAGGATTCAAAAGAAGTATCTACAGATATAATACTACCAACCGATGCCTTCACAAAGTAGTTATTGGCGGGTGTATGTGAGTACTGGTCTGGTGTCAGTCCCAGTTTTTCCCTATTATTGGCCTGCAGAAGTGTTGTGTAGCACAAATTGTGGGCCATCATAATGCTGAAAAAAAAGAACAGAAATTTTAATTAAGTACAATTTCCACTGTTATGCAAATATCATAGGAAGGCTGAAGGGAAAGTGAACCTTGGATATAGAGAGCTGAAATCCAAAGTTGAAATTGGATCTCCATAATATCCTCTCTTTGGTTCAATAACTGTAGCACCTTCATACTGATCATCACCTCCAGTACTTTGGTACGTAGGCATAATATAATCATGTTCTTTAGCTTTGCGCAACAGTTGTGAAACTACTTTAATTTGCTGTCCTCTAGTCAGGAGACTTCCCAGAGTCACACCTGTTACACGAGCCATCTCCATGTAGTTAATAATACACATTAACTTCTCCAGAAGTCGAAGTGGTAGATAGGCATCTTTCAGACAGTAGACAGCAAGACGACGTCTTGTTTGAGATGTCCCATTCTGCAAGTCTGTGATAACAGAGTGATGTACATCCTCTTTTTGTTCCTGTTGTAAATATGTAATTAATGCTACATGTGCTGACGAAAGAGAAAGTGATTCCCTATCCAGTTAATGAGATACTCACCTGAAGAAAATGGTAACTAACTGCATTTAATGTGTAGGATCTCAACTTGTAATCTCTAACCAAGACCAAAAGCAAATCAAATGGAACTCGTCCTTCAAAATTTACGTTTTTGTTTTCCCGACGTCCCATTTGTTTACTAAATAGTTGAGATTCCTTAATAACCTGTTAATGTTTTTAAGACAAGAGGGAACAAAGAAATTAAGGAGGTTCAATGTCAAGTTCAGCTGAGGTGTTGGATAAACAAAACTAACTTAACTTACAGATTGTATATCCTTTACTCTTCCCAAATATGTGAAATTTTTCACAGTCAAATGTTTGGCTCGATTTATTAGATAAGGAAAATCAAAATTTGTTATGTTGTATCCAGTGAAAATATCTGGGTCAACCTCTCTCACAAAGTCAGCCCATTTCTGTAACAGATAGATAAAAAAAAGTATTGTTTTCATGATCAAATTTAAGTGACATAAGTTTTGGACCAACATACCTCCAGCATTTCAGTTTCTTTATCACAGCTTATAACCTGACATCCAACAATTGGAGCACAAGTATTCAAGGTAAATACATTTCTAATAAAAGGTTCTGAGTCTCCTTGACGTATAACCATGTTTGCTATTTGAATGACAGGATCATGGGTGGGCTCAGGAAAAATACCTGCAGCATTTAACGCTCTTGAGTGACACAAAATTAACTGATAAACTAAGAAAATCAGATTTTCAGTCCATACCTTTACGCCCAGCACACTCAATATCAAAACTAAGAATACGGAAAGGGGCCACTCTTGCCCACTCTCCTTCAGGAAGGTGAGAAATAAGTTTCTCCCATGAGACATCAACCTCAATTTGACACCTGGACGCAAATGGTTTAGTTTTGCTATCCTTGCTTCTCATTTTCCAGGCTCCAGCTGGTAGTTCAATCCAGTTACAACCAACCATGTTTGCATCCACCATAAATCTGAAAAATTAAGAGCAATAGAAAATTTACCTAGGAAAAGAAAAACAAATTGTGGAATACACATTAAATTAACCAGAACCTACCTGATGTCAAAATCAATATTTGATTCATAACTAGTGAATGCATGAGGTCCCAAGGCAGTGAATATATCACCCTTTTCCAATAACCTTTTGGAAGCAGCAATGAGACGAGGCAATGCAACAGTCACCCGAAGGAAGTTCTGCATATCATCCCCCCGGTAGCCATACAAGCTCTGCTTCTTCACAATTTCAACAGCTAAAACAGCTTCTTGCACATTGTCTCGATTACCTTTCATGTCAGCAAGAACAGCTTTGTTGAGAGAGTCCTGAGGGAGTGCAACAAAAAGAATTATTGGACTGCAACAATATATTTATGTAAATTAAAACAGATGGATTTTAAAAATTACTCTCACCTTAAAAGGCTTACAGTGACTGTTGTTGAAACCCTTTGGGGCAGACACAAAAAAGTAAGGGGAAAAACCATGAACGTGACAGCAAACGGAATTACCCTCCATTGTCACCCCATATAGACGCATAACTGGAACTGGACCAATTTGTGATCCTGGCATTCCTGGCATAGGCGTCCCTGGAATAAAATTGATGGATAGAATTAATATAAAATTGTTTATACTTGAACCAAGTTAACAGTGAGAAGGTCTAAAATTATAAACTATCAAAAATTATCATGAAATGAGGCAAGATAGTATTTAAGTAATTGATTAACTACCAGTGTAATGGTCCACATCTATTTGCTGGAATTCCAAATTTTGTTGATCGGGATTCATCGGGGGTGGGGCAGGTCGACTCCATTTTACAGATGTCTGATTGGTATCTGGGCCCTTTGAAAAAAAAATAATTTAAGGAACACCTATGATTTAACAATTTTAAAGAAGTGTATGTAGTTTCACGATCAAAAGGGAATACACAAGTTGAGGGGAGGCAGGGAATTCCGGGAATTCACCCCCTCCCCACACACACCAATCAAAAGTATCTAAATATTAGAGGTTGAAAGGAAATACTGTAGTGTTCTGGGATTTTTAAATTAGCCAAATAAATGACAGTTCAGAGTCCCAACTCTAACCTTGCTGAAACGTATTTGATGATCTGCCATTGTTGTCAAAACATTGCAATTTAGGATGCATCTCGAAGGTAAGAACCATCCAAATTGGCGCAAACTTTTGAACATTAGCATGCACTTAAATGTTTTACATAGAATGATAGGCGATGAAGGAAAGACAATTTAATAAGGATACATTGAGAAAAAATTACTTGAGTTATAAAGAGAAGCCATAAAATCACACATTTTGAATCAAGAGGGGTTGGCAGTGCAGGCAGTGCATCAGTTTGAACAAATGAACATAGCTAGAGCTAGAAAAACAGTTGAACTGTCGCAATATTTGAATAGTTACTGCACTGTGTTTTCTCTCATAGATTAAGGTGTGTTGAAAATAATGATTCATTGTAAAATGGAATGAAACCTGACGCGTGGGGGCAAAAGGTTTCATTACGAAGTACTAAAGGGTAAGCTTGTCACCTGTCCAATTAATTCCGTGAAGTCCCCTTCATTGGCATCCATATACGCAAGCTCCTCTTCGAAAGTCCCAGGAAAGTCCTCATCTTCATCATCATCTGGTCTGCAAAAGTTCCAAAAGAAAAAATAGAGGACATAAGAAAAAAAAACAAGAAATAGGAAAATGTTCCAAAATGGATTACGGACAACACCAATATACAGTAGCTTCGCGGACTTACTAGTTAAGAATGCAAATGAAAAACTGTACATTTTTTTTATAAAAGTTAAAGTATTGTTAGAAAATAATTTTTTCATTCAAAAATGCACAAGTACAAATTGATCATGGTTATGGGTGGCTACACAAATAACACATTTATAACTAAATCGTGAAACAAAGCAGGAATTTTCAGGCGGAAAGCATAAAGTAGCTTAACTAAGAAGAGGGTAGAGCAACCCTTATCTTTATTTAAGCTATTTTTTAAAGCTATTTTCTCTTTCATTTCACTGAATATACGGAAGCAACAGGGCACAATTTAGCGACCCAGCTCATTTAACGCGTGACAGCTAAAACTTTAAGTACCTTGTACGCTTTGCTGGAGCTGGGCTTTTCCCAAAGCCTTGCTTTCTCTTATCCATGGTAAAACTTCTCGCAAATCAACACAATCTCGTTAAAATGTCGTCACTTCACACTGCCTCGCCTCTTTGTGTTTTGATTACCACTTTCCCGCGGTTTGAGGTTGAGGGATACCTAGGCCGAGATCAAATGCAAATGCGGAAATCAGGGACATTGTAATGTGTACTTCCGGTGGCCATTGATCTTCCCTCCCCTCCTGACGTTTTGTTATTTTGTGCGGGTTCTCCCAAACACAAAACGTCATCGACTGGATACACCAGGCATATATTTTATTTAATTTTACTGTTCATATTGTTCTGTCATACTTGTTCTTTCTAAGAACATTGTGTCAAAGTTAGTCCCCTCTCAACTTTAAATGTCACAATTTTGGCTAGATTTGTGTAGGTAGATCATTTTTAGTATTTTCTGCTCTCTACACAGATGAGTGGTGATGATGGCATTCCACCACAAGCTGAAGAGACTGATGTTGGGCCGGGTCAGTTGTATGCACCTTTTCTCTTAATGGAAGGTGTTTTAGACAAATTGAAGCTGCTTAACTATGACAAAGAGTTCATTCGAGAGTTAAAAATGAAGCCTTTAAATAGGTAAGTTTTTTACCAAAGTGTGCAATAAGTGCAGCAGAGAATTATATCTGATCTTATTTTTCTTTTCTCAGGCACTATTTTGTCATTGCGACAAATCCAGGGGAGCAGTTTTTTATGTTCACCTCAGTGGCTGCTTGGTTGATTCGCAAAGCAGGAGGAAAGTTCGAGCAACCACAAGAGTTTGACGACCCAAATGCTGCTATAGCATCTATTCTTGACTTTATTCGTAAGATTGTGAGTCTTTCAAGAGAATTTTTTTTCTTCCCTATTATCTTATGATCATTTTGTATATGGAGTTAATGCAGTCCAAACCCTAGCGGAAACTGGGATCTTATCACCAATTTTAATTGATCAATATCAAGAAATTTCAAATATACTTTTTTTTTTATTTCTCTCTTACACATTAGTCTTATATGTGAAATATTGACTTAAGATTTCATATTTTCTGTACCTTTTGAACTACTTGTGCAAACTACAAAAAAACAAAAAAAACAAACATTAGTGATGATTTTGTGACTTCCACTCGGACCTCAAAATGCATCTTATCTTTGTTCCAAAGGGCATGAATATAGATTTTCCTCCCAACCGACTAAAGCCAGGATGTGGTCAGCATGTTGTACTAGTCTTGGACCAATTGGCAGAAGAGGCATTGAAAGCTACCAAATTTAAGTGGAATAAGTGAGTTTTTGGGTGTTATTTTGCACCAATTAAATTGTATAGACTGTCTGATAAATTCCGTTCTTTTGTCATTTAGACCTGAGCCTAAACCTGAGGTGACTGAAGACGATACTGTGGAGGAAGATGATTCAGAACTGCTCTTGGAACGTGTTGAAGAAGAAATGGCTGCTGTTTTCTCTGATGATGAAGATGATAATCTTTTAAATGTTGATGATCTCCGCACCATACCAGGAGTTGATATGGTGAGAAAAGTACTCATAAATGTAATTTACTATTTATATATATATAAGTTGGTTAATGCCAGTATTATGTAGAATCCATGGTAATGTTTTGATGGCTTGTCAATGTGTTCATGTTATCAAGGTGAACAGTGTCATGGGACAAACCAAGAATTTTCTCTGTGCTGCACTATAGAAATCTGAAAGGCCACTAAATCCCCTCAAATTGTAACTAAAAATTCCTAATTATCTTCATCTTTACAGAATAATCTAGAGTCTCAAAAACCTGAAGAGATCTTAGAATCAACAACTACAAGCGAAGATTGGCAGTTAGAATTAGAGAGAGTGCTTCCGCAGCTGAAAGTCACCGTCAAGTCAGGTATTAATACACCTAACTCAATGTATTTGCTGTAAGTTACATTGGTTTATTTCATCTCTTGAATCTCAGACTCTAGAGATTGGCGAAGTCATCTTCAACAAATGCATACTCAGCATGATGGCATTAAAGAGTCCCTCTCATCTGCAAAGATCAGACTTGATAAGTTATTTACCGACACCACTCAAATAATGGACAAAATTAGAAGCAGGGAAAAATTTCTCAATAGTCAACTTGATCCTATCCTTGTTGAGTATAGAACTGTTCAGGTACTTTATACTTATATGTTCTGATGTATTTTGAAAATCTTGGAAGTATAAGATGTTGTTTTTTTGTTGCTTAAAATAAGTAATTGTTTTTACTCAGGCTGAACTTGCAAGAGTATCAGAACAGTATCAAGAGGTAAATGGGGGTGTAACTGAACGTCAACGAGTTTTATCACTTGTAACAGAAGAACTAGATGCTGTCAAGCAAGAAATGGAAGAGCGTGGTTCCAGCATGACAGATGGAAGTAAGTAATAGCTTTTACAAATGCTTTTATGACTCTAGCAACAGTAAAAAATAACTTTGAAATGCTTTTTCAGCTCCTCTTGTAAATATAAAAAGAGCTGTGGGTCGTATGAAAAGTGAAATAATAGCAATGAATGTTCAAATAGGAGTTCTGGAACACAGCCTTTTACAGGCTCGACTGAGGGATAAGTCTATCTTACAACAAGATATGAACAGCAATTCCTACTTAACTGTTTAGTTGAGCAGCTCAACTTAATATTTGTGCACTCATCTCTGTGGCTTGAAAGAGATTTACATAAATTCATTCCGTCCATTTCACTAAAAATTAACTAACACAGAAAGTTGTCATGCCTCACTTTTGAAAGGGTAAAATTGAGTCCCTAAATATAGCTAGAATCATCACCAAACAATGTAGTTTGTTTAATTTACCAACTCTTGGCTCATCCTTTTCCTTTCTCCCTCCTTCTACTTGTCCAGCATCAAATCAACCTAATTTGCAAGTTAATTCTTGTTGTAACTAGAGTATAAATTAGAGGAACAAAAAATAATTGAAAGAAGAATCAATGTTTATTGCCGTAGAAGATACAGTTATTACTGATCTCTAAATAATTCTGTAATAAATTCACATGTTTAAATACAGAGCAAAAAAACTGTATGTTTTAACAAGATAAAGTCCCACGAGTAATAATGTGGTTCAACAATTAAGGGGGCACAACCATTCATGATTCTCAACACAGCCCGTAGCTGGGCATCCTTCGCGTTTCAACAATGTCTTAGTATACCATGGCAAACTTCCAAACGTCAATACACAATCTCTACAGAATAAACTTTGAACAAGAAAAGTAGGAAATTCCTGAGGAACCACTGAATTAAATCAACTTATGAGCAGTGATGTAGTAGAACAATAGATAACATTAATTGATGCTAATATTTCAATTACATCATTTGCTACATTTACTATCTCAATTATTGAGAGAATATTTCCTTTATCACTATCACAATTTTTGGCATAGGCTTACTGTTAATGGCTTTTGAGAAATAAAAGAGTGCTTAGTTATCACAATATCAGCAATTGCATCTCAGGGTCAGATGAATAGAATACAGTGGCAGCTTTAATGGGCAAAACAAATCTGAAAGATGAGAAAAAAATTAGATTAAAAAAAAACATGAAATGTTTAGAAAAGCAACAGAAGGCCTTTTTTTCTTCAGACACGAACAACCCCTCATCAACCGTGAAACACATCTGAAAATGTGAATTTGCTATTGAAAAGGGGTTCTGCACAATGCTGACAAGTAATAATTTTTACAATACCACCAACTTTTAACAGGTTTCAATATTTTCTCCATATTAGAACAACAATTAAGTCACAAAACATTCCATAACATATCCATCCAATCACATTCAGCATCCGATATCCTCCACAAAATGGTACTGGATTGTTCTCACCATATCAATCACAGGTACAAAGAATCGGGCAAGCAGAAGTTAAATACGCATCTAGTACTAATGCCTACGTTTCCAAAAATAGAGTAGTTCTGCTTCATAAAAATAGAGCCACGAAGAATGCTGTGAAACAGAAAATTGTGACAGCTTGTATTATACTTCCTTTGAAGTAAAACCTTGGACTACTGATCTAGATAGATAATAAATATCAAGAGGTATTAAGGTAGAGCATTAGGTGCACCATACAAGGTTTTCAGGTTGTTTCCAAACTATCCTAAACATGGAATATAGATTTCAATCCTAAGCAGCACCGAGGAGGCCCTCATAAAAACTTAATCAGTGAGTGAAAAATGACGTTCTGGAAATACTCCAATGTAACTCTAAACATGCAAGTTTCACTGTTTTTTTGTTATTTTTTTGCAGTTTTTAAAAATAAGTTATTGTTAAGTTGGCTTTTTTCCTTTAAGAGAAAGAAAGCGTACGGTATTCACACAAACAAATATAAGTGCATCTAAATTTGTGCTAAAATGTTGTTTCTGAAATTTTCAACAGAGACATGTCTTATAGATACATCTTAAGATGAATTAATCTCAAAGCGGAAATAAAATAATTGCTTCAATTTCAGTATAATCCTCTCCATCAAAAAAACAACAACATTGGCGTAATGACTTTAACTACAAAATTCTACTGCTGAAAACTTCAACATTATCAAACATAATGCAGTATAATAACTTGATAACTTGAGCATGGTCCAAGTGTGTCTGTGTCTACTTTTGGTTTATATTGTGGCCCACTTGATGAAAAATTGCATACATTATTTTAAAAAGTTGATTTGATTTCTAAAATGGTGAGGTATGTTATGAGTACCAGACACTCTAAAAAGTCTAATACTTAAGGATAAACACGAGAGGGAGGTGCTACAACTGGGCTACAGTAGAGTACAGAGTAAGCTTTTCAAAGCAAAATTTGGCATGATGTAACAGTACACCTCTGTTAGAAGGAGTATTCGGCAATTCCCTCTCCACCTAAGATGGTAAAATGTAGGACTGCGAAAACTATTCAAGGAAATGAGGGCATATAAATTGAGATACCTAAAAGAGTTCTAAGGTAGGTACCAAATATCTAAAAACAATGTGCGAAGAGGGAGATTTAGTCACATCGCATCATGTCGTTAGAAATTTGAGATGTATGGTCCCAATACTAAAACTACAGATACAGAATAGACAAGTAGAAACAAGAGGAAATTATGAGATACAGAGGTAATAGAATAGAGAATACAATATAGAGCAAAATATTGTAGCACATGATAAAACTTTAAATATTTAGAATTACAAGATAACAAGTGTACTAATGTAGTTTCTTGCCTCTAAATATACAAGCTCCATATATAAGATGTAAATATCACACTACTTTACCTGCATAACCACCAGTTAACATGTGTGGTATACAGGACTTATTGTTCAATATAAACTTTGTAATGAGGTAATGAATAGAGAGCACCTTTCAATGTGCTACAAATATGCACATCTACCCAGGTTAAATCTATAATCACATAAAATGATGTCATGACTAGCTTGGTATGTTACAGTCTTCTAAAAAAATGTCAAAACAAAGACAAAAATGTAAAAACAAAAGCACTTGATGTTGTACAAATGGCAGTACAAACACTTAAAAATAACAAAGGAACAATCTAGATTCAGATGGAACAACAAAGTGTATGCCCTGATCGGATCTTGTAAATGAGAATATGTTTATATCAAACCCCAAAGTAGTAGTCTGTCTGATCTACACTGTTACATTAATTTAGTCCACTCAATTTAATTGACAATACTGTAGACATTTTTCAGTGCATTATCACTTTGCTTTTGGCACAGTGCCTTAAAGTCCTTCATCCTATAATGTACTTTTGATGGTCCAATGTACCTCAGCTAGTCGTGAACTGCACCCAACAAAAAGGCAAGGTAACAGCACTTGTCTGAAGCTGGCAATTGGTTGTCTCCAACAAAAAGCAAAACAAAAAGTCACAAAGCTTTTTACGCAGTCTACATATCTGCCTGAAACAGATAAAAGATCAAACAATTTATATAGAAATAAGACCAAACAAAACATATGCTACGAGATAACATTAAGACACACCCAACAAAATGACTTAGAAATTCCAAAGTTTGGAACAAAGTAGATCAATTTCTAAATATATATTGGTCATGCTTAAAACTTTGCATGTACTGTGGTAAATATTTGTATATTTAAAATCTTTTAGATACATCCTATAGTGTCTCTTGTTGGCATATTACATAATGATATTAAATATCTCTTCCAGATTTAAACTTTAAAAACAATGCAATAAAAATAATATATTAAAAGTTTCTCTGTTCTGATTAGAAATATGCCAGTTCCTAGGGGAGAGAAGCAAAGTTCTCAATTATAAATTGTTGTTCAAGCTCTGAATATAAGTAATTGAAATCAGTAAATAATTTCATGCCCATTGAGCACATCTGATTTCAGTTTTTTATCACTTGGCATCAGAGAGTATCTGATAAACATTGCAATACATAATTACATACCATTACAGTACTTCTTAAGTGAATCCTAAGTAAATGATATGTTACATAGAAAAAACAATTCTAACAAATACAAGTTTGTGGCTTCCACAATAAACACTATCAAATCCTTCATCTTGTGCACAAATTTGGTCTTGTTTGTGGCAGTAGAGCAACAATTCATTGTGTTAGCCTTGAAATTGCCAAGTCCAACAATAAACCAAAACAATCAATGTAGCACTCTGGCCTAAAGCCAGACAAAACCTGAAGGAGGATAGTGAAAGAAAATATCCTGAGAGGGTATCATACAACAAATGACTAAAGACTCATTAAAAATTGTAGATTCAATAATAAAACATGCAAAAATGAACAAATTATAACAGTAATCTCATTGTCTTACGGAATAGCATTCTTCAATGATCCCAAAAAATAATTGTAAAGAAAATTAGAACAAAGCCATGATGAATTTGAGTTCACCAGTAGCTTAATCTTTCTTCTGATGAATAGTTGGAAGTTCTTCTTCAGCATTTGAGTCAGACGACAGCATCAGCCCATTTTTCCCAACCATTACATGCTCAGTGGGAAAATCTAGAATAACAGTGAAGTGGTATGCCATATTGCAGGAGGCAACAACATACTCACAAAAGGCAAACCAGCTGAATGCTGGAAAATAAAATAAAATACGACTTGATGCAGATAGTAATTATTAAAACCCTTTTGGTCATCAAAATTTTAAGACTCGTTTGTACCTACCCATGTCATGACAAAGAAGTCGATGTTTTAAAAAGAACACAATAAGTCCAATGGTGCTCACAATCGAAACAGCAAAAAGGCCTTTCTTGATCTGGTAAGAATTGAACTCTTTTGGAGTCATGTCAGGTTGTAAGGCACGTATCAGGCGTACGAGAGCTAACATATAGGTCAGAGATGATATCATGAATCCGATAAAAATCTTTTCATGCAAGGCTGAAAAAATACAATCAATTCAGACAAAGGAGCTACAGGATGAATAGAAAAAAGTAGTACTTTACCAAGGTATATAGGAGCTGTAAGAAACTTACGGTAGTTTTCTCTATTTGAAACATAGGTACAACCACACAATGTTCCAATTTCAATCATGCTGAGCCAAAAGCAAAAGCGTAAATGCTTTGTAAGTTGATGCCTTTCTGACTGTGGACGTTGCATAATAATGGAGTGGTAATGGGCATAATAGACAAAAGCTATGAGTACTCGAGGTCCAATATGGAAGGCCACACAAATTCGCCACAAATATCGCTGAGGACTAACTCCTGTAATCGCACTGATGGATGGTATTATGTTGTAAACCTAAGATGAAACAAAATAATATCAAACATAAGTGCAAACATGTATAAAAAGTAACGGATTTTGGTATATAAAACATACCCTGCAATGTGTTTCATGGATATCATCCGGCTGGAATATATTGGCTGTGATGAAACAAGTAAGAAGGCCAACCAATGGTAGGAGCACCGCCCCAGTACACAACCGTTTGAAGCTGACTGACAGAAGGGCCACAGTGCGAGAGGGAGATGGAGGCACTTGGTTCTCAACAGGCAGCATGTTGCAGTAACTCAATTGACTATTAGTTACAGAAGTGATAGAAACACAGTGGTGGGCCACCTCACAATTTCTTCCATAATCAAATTTCAGGAAAACTCATATGGCATGTAGTGAGGCACAACAGAATAATGTTACATGCCACAGATATGGATCTAAAAATCAGAAGATACCGTGTTAAAGGAGGTCAAGCTTGAAATCTTAATGCCATCCTTCATAATATATTATTGAGAGGGATATAAGAAGAACTCGAGTGACTACATTTTTGAATGATTCAAGTCTTTTAATAGTGAAGGTGTCAATACCACTCTATCAAGAGAGTGACAATTAAAAATAACTCAAGAATTTTGTGATAAACCTTTTGGAAATATCGGGGCAAAAGCTACTAACCTGGAAGCGCAGACGACAAAATTATCGACCCCAAGACAACAAAAACAAATGCCGAGAGCTGTCGAAGTTATTGGCAGGTGTTGGCGGCAAAGATCTGAGAATAACGTTTATCGCGCGAAAAGACTTGCGAACGTGAAAGTGTTCGTAGTTGTGCCCGGTCTCCAAAAGTTGTTGTTGTTGAGTTGTTGAAAGGGGCTTGGTTGAAAGACAAAGGCCAAGATGGCTTCATTTGCGTTGGTAAGGTTTAAGTGCAATAGCCAAATTGTTGCTGTGTCTGTTAAAGAAATGCTGGCTCTGAGGAAGGAGAATGGTGTTCGAAAGTTTGAGCCTTATATACCAATTTGTGTTACTGACTTCAAAGTTAGCTCGAGGCACAAGTACGCTGTGCTTTTAACTGATTCTTTTGGCAATTTACGGAGATGGTACGTTATGATCGGTCGTCTTGGAGGTGAGTTTCCCACCGCTTCTTGTATTTGACATGTTAAGCATGATCAATTGGAAGTTTAGTTACCACGAAAAGCTAATCCGGCTTACTAAAATCATTATTGCTCTTTAAAAATGCTGATTTTGAATCTATCACTATGATATCTAGATTTTTTGAATTTAAAATTATTACATAACTCATTAAAAGTACAAATTGACATTTTACATTTTCTATGAATACAAAATTTTTAAGTGCCTCAATCAGGACGTACATATGAGAAACTACTATAACAAATTTAACTCACTTTAATAAGCAAATTTTTATTTCATGTTCAGCGTCACCGGAAGAAGTGCTATACCAAGCTGGAAGTGTAGAATGGCCTGCTGTGAAGACAAGGAAGTCTCAACGTTCTTGCTTCTCTCAACTGGTAATAATTTAGTTAAGCTATGTTGTCCTACAATGTTGGTTCTCTACCCAAATATTTATGTGCTATTCTTGATTTTCTTCACAGACTGATATGACCATAGAGCACACAATAAATGTTAGTGCTGCTGCTGCACATGATCATGAATTACAGGTAAAATCAGCTTCTTTGGGACATTGTGGCAAGTCAGAAAAGGCAAACAAACACATCGATTATCAAGAAGTTCAACCAAAATCTCACCAGACAAACCAAGAAGAAAAAGATATGTTTGATACAATGATGAATCGTCTGAATGAAGTTTATGGTAAGATTGTTGAGAGATTTGATGGAGTTGAACAGTCTCTCTTGGACCTGCCCGACCAGATAAAAAGAAGTTGCATGACAAATGTTAGTGCATGGTTAAACAGTATTCCTGAAAATCTGCCAGAAATTCGAGGTGCGTCAGATGTCAGGGTAGACCAAGTCAAGGATATGAAGAAGTCTGAGATTGCAGTGGGAGATACTGCATCAGGGAATGAATCAGTGGCAAATTATGTTGATGCCAAGTCAGTAGGCAATGAATCAAAGATGAAGGTGGATGAAAGAGTTGAAACAGATGAATCAGAATCAGAATCAGAAGTTACTTCACAAATTGACTCTGATTTCCCTGATAAGGATATTTTCTATTCCTTTTTATCAGGAATTGTCTCAGAAAACTGATGCCAGACAAAGAGAAGAGGGCAAAAGTTCAACTATCTCTATTGAAATTATGCGAAGTAATTAGGTAACAAATTATGTGACTTATATTTTAGTTACCAATCAGTATTTAACCATACACAGTATTTGTGCTATTTTTTTAGTTACGAATCAGTATATAACCACACAGTAATTGTGCTATTTTTAGTAACCAATCAGTATTTAACCACACAGTAATTGTGCTAATCATTAATGAAAGAAGGACCTTCAATTAAGTCTATATTTCAGATTGTTATTTTTTTCTGTTTAAGAAAAGGTTTTCATGCTTGTGAATAATTTTTGTTTTTTGTTCAACTTGTGCATAATTTAAAAGAAAAGAGTTTTTTTTTTCAATAACAGAATTTCTGTACCATACTTCCTACCCGATCGACCATCGTATGCCACCACACAATCGGATTTGGATGCTCGAAATGGGTGAAGGCAAGAGCGTTGTAGTGGTTTGGGGAGGGGGGAGGGGGTGCAGCTAGCCTCGTGTGCGTCCAACGTCCCTTGTAATTTTGAGCGCGGTCATGCTGTATGGCTGTGTCCTAAACGGCCCGGGCTGCCTCGCGGTATTTTATTGGCGCTAAAGACTGCCAGTGTGTGTGTGTGTGGGCGTAAGTGTGTTGGTCGGGCTCGACCCACCCGGCCTGAGGGAAGGGGTTAAGGGATGTGCACCTGAGGTGCGTTCCGAGAATAGCCATGGTCCCGCAGTGTTTTGGATTCCTTCGCTGCAAATAGCGCCACACAAGTTATTCTCGTGAGTGTGTGTGGTTGGGTATGTGTGAGTGAGTGAGAATAGGGGCGCCGTGTATAAACTGTATACTGTCGCACGTTTCCTGCACCCTCGCGCTTAAGTGCGACGCCTACTGCTCGCGCATGCCTGGTTTATTATTTAGTTTGAGAAGCCATCAGAACAAAACGCCTTGGGCATATTAACAGGTTGAGTGCGGCATGGCCACTATATGGTCACGCTCCCATCTTAATCTGTAGATACAAAAATGACCGGGACTCTTTGTCTCAGGCCCGATCCTTATCCTCTTTATCGAACCATCGTTATGTTTGTCCGATTGTCTCCTCTATTCAGTGGTTCTTTTGGAACGAAGTGCACTAGAGTGTGTGGCGTTATTGCACTCTGGTCTGAGGTGTGGAGATTCCGGGCACTTGCGATTCACAGCAAAGAGACTGGATGTACACTTCAAGAAATGATAGTCGTGGGATTTTTTTCTCTCTTCTTTTTTTTTTTTGGGGGGGGGGGGGGCTACCTAAACCTTCACCAAACGCCGAGTATATGCATGATTAAAAAAAAAAAAACTCTCTAAATAGTGCAATAACAGTATCCGTATGGGGTTTTCGAGAAGGTTCGTCTGTCATTTGACCATCCAAAACCGCCAAGTTCAGCTTATTCAAGCTTCCATAGCGCCTGATAGGTAGGCTCCATCTTCCCTGCAGTGCATGCGTGCATTGCGGTGTGGCCTACCCCGAGGCTCGCAGGCGCTGAGCCTGCGTGACTTGCCGAATGAATCCGATAAAAAACGGACGTACTTTTTTGAAAAGCCCTGTTTTGTTCTCGCTGCCAGATACCCATCTGGTTGATAGTGTTGGTTAAACATTTTAGGGGACCGGGGGGCTCGGTGTGCGCATTAGTGGTGGAAGAGAGAAAGGAGGGGTGGGGGATCCTCTCTAAGATGCACGTCACATGAGTCACCCTTGGTATGCACAACACAGGCATAACGCAAAGCACGGCAGTAAAGCCGCTGGGCGAAGAAAACATACGCATCCAAAAAAAGGGCTGTTGAACCCGGTACACTCTATGATGCTCGCGCACCCTCTTCGCATCTCTCGGAACTCCTTCCCGTACCTTGCACACATGAGCGAACACCATTGTCACTGTCCAGCGCTCTCTCGGCAGCTCTAACGCGGTCAAAACATTCAAATGATGCATATCCTCTCGCACCGACTCATGATCACTTTTTCTTGGCAGCGCCAGAGGCCTAGAGAGGCTAGGCCGCCGGGCCGCCGCCGACCCGTCTCCGGGCCAGCTCCTCTTACGGTCACCCTTTGAGGAGAGCCCACCTCCCGCACCCCTTCAACCTCCCGGTGGCCTTAACCGCCCCCTGCCCGCGTGCGTGGGCGGCCGTGACTCCTGACTCACACCCTGCATTTATAAACGCAACCAACCCCGGCGCGCGCGGGTCGGGTCCTCGCGAGAATGCTACCCCCACTGCCCCGCAACCCGTCGCCCTCCCCCCTCTCCCCGAAAAACATTTTGGAATTTGTGGCGGGCGTCCAAATTCCTGCACCTGTATGGCCATAACTAGTAAGAGATTACACAAAGCAGCTCCGCCGAGAGCAGAGCCGGATCCTTTTGCTGGTAGCGGCGAAGGGGCGGGGCGCCCGCGGTGGGTAGGCAGCCCGGTGCCTTGCCGGTGCGCTATGACTGGACCCTGACACTCCACAGACCTGTCGCCAAACCGGATACTAGTCTGTCACCTCAACGGCCGCCTAGCCAGGGAGCTCCCTGGGCCCCGCGGGCCTGTCCGCGCCCGCGGCAGGATGGGTCTCCCGCTGCGGGACACTTTTACTTTTCCTTTTTTAAGGGAGAAAAGCTGCTGAACCGCGACGGCTTTTTACTGTATCATAAATATGGCATGTTTGAGGACGCACGGACCCGACAAGGAAAACACGGGTATCCGCCGCCCTCCCCTACCCCCTTCTCCCGTGCTCCCTGTCAGCGCCAAATGTCTTAATGACTTAATCCCCGCGGGCGTGATATCACGTCCCGAAATACATATCGGCGAGCCCGCCGGGCCGGTGTCGCTTCTCTCGCGGCCCCCGGCAGCGCCCCGGTCAGTCCGGGGATCGGGAGGATCAGGTTTGAAGGACCGGCGGCTGCGCCCGGTGAGATGGTCCTGAAGAGAGCGGCTGACTCATCCTGTCCTCGTGCCCGCGCCTCGCTCGCTCCTCCACACCCACACGAGCAGCGGCCCTGCCCTGCCCTGCCGTTGGCGCCACCCCTGGCCTGCCGTTGCGCCCCTGAAGGCCCGGGCGGGCGGCGGGCGCGTCCAAACGCTTGGGCGGCGTCCTCTTCGTCGCGTGGACGCCTCCCTCATGCTCGCTGTCACCCTTTGGCGCCGGCGTCGTGGACGCGGCCCTCTGCCGCTGCCGCATGGCGCCGCGGCCGCGCGGGTAGACCGCGACCAGGTCCCCAGGGAGCCGCGCGCCCACGCGCCAGGCGGCGGCCGCCCGGGATGCGCTCCACGCCGCAGCCGTGCCATGGCGCGGCCACGAATTTTGTTGTCCTCGCACAAATCCTCGCGCCAATCGGGCGTAACTACCCACGCCAAGACACGCCACGCCACGCCGTGCCGCCGCCGACTGCTTCGCCGCGTACCGTGCCCCGTGCCGCGTGCCGGCAGCGGCCACACTACTTGAGAAGTCGAGCTGCTTGCATTTCCGATGACAACTCCGGGTATACTCAACATGAGCTCACCCGGGGCGTCACAACGACGTAAAGCAAGTGGTTGCGTTTGTCCGTGTTTGGCGGTCACGCCACCTGCGCCGCCCCACCTGAAGGGGGCTCGAGTTGTGCAGCTGCTCTGGGTCGTGGCTTAAGAGGGTAAACCCGCACTCATCATTCCGATGTCGAGGGTTTTGGATGCCAATCGGCGGTCGCGCTCCCCCTCGCCTCGGACCGCCCAGCTGATCGGTTCCACTCGGAGCAGACCGAGCAGCGTGCCAGAGCAGGCGCCACATCATCGGTCTCTAGTCATCGACCCTTTCTAAAGCTAAAAAGCTTGTCCTCGGTGGGGCGGGCCAAGCCGCTCCTTCAACCGGGACCCGCCCGATGTCGCCAACGAACCTATGACGTACTCGCCGCGAGACTCGCGGACCCATTCATGGAAGCACTTATCACAGCTAGTCGCTTCCCTCACGTCCGCCCAGCTGTGGAGGGGCGGCGGTGGGCTTTCCGTTCCGGAGCATGGCGGAGCCAGAGCAAGACCCTCCGTGTTAGCGACGCCAACTTCTTCTGTCAATTTTTTTCCTGCCTCCCCTATTATTTCCCACACTTCTCGGAAACTCTGATGGCGAGGGCCGAGACAAGATGACAGAATATTAGAAAGCAAAGAGCACACCACCGAGTATATACCGCCTGAATTTTTCGAGTTCCATCCTTAGCCGGTATCCTGATGATTCCCAGGCAGGTGTACACATGATTCCCGGAGTTGTTGCCCCCTCGGTTTCTGAGAAGTCGTCAAGGTCCCCAAACCACCCCAACTCATTTCGCTTCGGCGTGGGTTAAACGTTTATTGTGACGACCCTCACAAAATATGTTAGCCTGCTCCCCCCACCCCTCCGCTACCGGGCTAGCTATTTTCGAGGAGGAAAACCAGTCGGCACGCTAGAAAAAGAAGTTAGTTTAAAAATGGCTCACCTCGCGCGCCCGTCGTTCCTTCATAAAAACCAGGAGCGTCAAAATGGGGCAAAAGAGGGGAGTGGGAGGGGGGCGGGGATGAACTTCCGGCCCCTGACCCAGTTCGAACTACACTGAAACTATGCAGGGAGTGGGGCTGCACGCTCGCCCCGGAGTCGCCGCCCGTGCGGCTGGCCAGGCTGGGCAGGAGGGGGAGCGGAGGGAATGACCACGGCCTGTAAGCATGAATGACAAGCCGCAGCCGTCTCTGCAGCACATTCCTGCCCGAGCCGTCCCGATCACACTAGAAAGCCGTCCCGATTACACTAGAAAGGCGTCCCGATTACATTAGAAAGCCGTCCCGATTACATTAGAGAGCCGTCCCGATAACACTAGAAAGCCGCCCCGATTACACTAGAAAGCCGTGCAACCGCGGGCAGAGCGGCCCCGCCGCTGCCGGGGTCCCCGGGGGAGACACTCGCGGTGGCGGTAAACACGATCCCTATCCCCTTGTCGTCTTGTCCCGCTCCCTGCTCTGCCACCCCCAGAAGACCGCCGGCCGGCCGGCTGCGACTCAAGAATGTGGCATATAAACTGGGTAGCGCGGGGCGGGCGGGGCG